AGATTGTAGACCGCCCCTCCTTCGGGTGTCATTATGGAAAGTCAGACCCCCGTCCGTGGACAAGTACAAGCTGGCCCGCTGCTCCTGCTGTCCGGGCGCCTCGCAGACTACTCCTGACGAGCCTACCCCCTGCCCTTCCGTAGGCCTTCCCTTCTCTCCGAACTTGCACACCACTCCACTGCCTGCCTCCCCTATCAAAGCTCCCCACACCGTCACCACCGTCGCCCCGCCCCCGGCTATGCCCCATGTTGGCTCTATCCTCTCCACTCCCTTTCCTCCTGCTCCTGTGTACTGCAGTCGCAAAGTTCCCGGCCTTGAGTAGTCTACCCCGTTGTTGCTGATAGCTACAGTAATGTTTTTGTCAATCAATCGATGTTCTAAAATTGTTGGCAGAGCACATGTCAATACAGTGCTTGTTTTCCAATCACCGACTTTGATTTCATTAATTCCGATCTTGCAGAGATAAGAATGTTCGCTTGGGAAAATGAAGCCAACAATTTCAATTCTAGGTACATTTTTGTTTGACCAGTCAACATTAATCCTCTGCAGCGTTAGTTCTGGCAGGGCATGTATTTCGAGAGTTGCTAGGTTGAACAGTTGTTTCTTGCTCAAAAGTATTTCAAAACGGTTGATTCCAACAGCATGAAAGGTTGGTGCAACAAAACCAATTCTATTCTGAAAACATTTAGACGGCCCATCACCCATTGTGGCATTTGGTACAAGTCTAATCTTAACATCATATGTGCAAAGATCTTGAAGCGAATCGAATTCCACAGATATAATGGTTCTAGATGAAACGTATGTGAGCGAAGGAAAGAAATTCGTTATCAAAAGTTTTTCCAATAAAGGAAGAGGGAATCAAATGGTCTTGAAAGATCGCTATGACCTTTGCATTTCAATAGCAGTCGTACTCTCACATATCCAGTTGTGCTTTTTGCGGGTGCTCTGCAAACCCATCCAGAATTCCCTTGATGGGAAGCAAAAACTGTATCATCCGCGAATAGACAGTTGCCCTCGCAGTCATCTTGATATTCCGACAAAATCTGAACTAAAGTGCCACCTTCAATAGGTCCGCTCGAAGGCCAAATATTCATGCGGAGTGGACTTGATACAGTGGGTGAAAAACTGACAAGTGGTCCAAGCAAAATATCATTAGTGCAATCCACATGTAAGCCTATTACGTGAAAACCTGGCACGAGTTTGGGATTTATGGAGAGGATTAGAGAAGAAGTCACAAGCCTCCCAGGCCAAGAAAGGTTTCCAAAAAGAACACGAATACCATTCGAATGAACGAAAAGATCAAAATGTTCACCTCGGATACTGACGAGGGTGCTTGAAAACGGATTTAGAATCGTAGGTTTCACACCAAGAATTTCAGGATATGATTTCATGTCAAAATATCTCTCAGAACAAGCCAGAATCTGTTCTTGATTTGTCAAACAAACCAATTCGATATTGTCAACCATTGCATCAGGCAAGCGACATTTCAAGATCGGAATTGAAACATCACTAACAGGGAACGTTTGTTTCATATCCTTTCCTTCTATCAACAACTGCATAATTCCAAGCTCATGTCCAATCTCCCAAAATTCTGCATCTAATTTTAGGATGAGAAAGGAATCATTCCCGGTAAGATTCAAATGATAAATTTCTGGAATTTGGAAAAATGGATGAAATCTTCCACAATCCATTTGAATTGTTGATCCTTTATGACAAGCATGAACCATCACTGCAACTAATGGTGTCAAAGGTGGAACCTCACATCGGAGTAATGTACTTGCTTCCACCTTCGCTGTCACAACTGTTCGCCCAAATTTACATTGAAAATTAGACAAATTATCGTTTCCTTTCAAATAGATCCTGATAGGGTAGCCTCCAGAACTAGGGCCGTGGCTCTGGCTCATTTGACACTGATGCACAGGTGAAGTTAGTTCCAAAGTAAATGCTGATGATGCAAGCAGCATTTCATTCACTTTTACATGAACGGTGAAATTGCCAAATGCATGGGTGGAAAGATAGCAAAACAATCTCTGCGAAGTGCAACGATCCAATACAAGCCGACATTTGTTGTTCCCCAAAAGCACTTCTATGTCGTCCTGCATTTCAAAAATACTGTCTGTGTTGACCGTGATTGCATGAGAGTGAATGCCAGCGTCCCAAACAGCGAATGCTGAGGTGATAGATGTCCTTGGTATCAATTCTATACCAAACCATGCTGATTCCGCACCCATCAAATAGATCGAAACTCTACAAGGAACCCTGGAGGCTAGATGCTTTGGAAAGTGTGGTGCGAGACATCTGGCAGTCGTAGATGTGACGATTGAAACAGTCGTTCGATTGAAAATTCGATCAGAATCAAATCGAAAGGCGCAAGAATACTCAAGAAGGGGATGAAAAGTTCCAATCACTGTTAGAGCCACATGACCCTGCATTGAACTGATAGCCCTTGAAGGCAAGACGGCATACAGGATCGGAGACTCAAAATACAGGAACGAGTTTGCATCTGAGAAGGGCACCCAACGATCGGAACACTTGGCGAAGATACTCACTTCCTGTGTTGCATTTGATGACAATACAATAGGTGGTATTTGACAATCGGAAGAGTTAGAATACAGATCAATAGTACAATGTGCCTGATTTCTTCCCACTTGCAGCATAGAAACTAGCTCCCATCCTATCCCTGTTATACGCACATTTGTCTGCAAATGCATGGGACCCATCGATGGTCTTATTTTCAAACTATGGCAGACATAACCAAGAAAGTTAAGAGCGGTACCCGAATTTGAGAAGTGCTCACCATCATTACTTACTTCCAGCGTCTGGTTTTTGGAGTAGAGTGAAGATTCAAGATACATTCGGCAATGAATCAGTGTTGAAGAAATGTATATGGCATATCCCTTGCTGCACCTCAGGAACGGCGAGTCTTTGAAATATTGACCTATAACCTCAACGCTAATGTGTCCTGAACCTTTGGACTGTTGAAGAATCGAAACTGAAAATATTTCTGGTAATTGTGAGTAAATGAATGGAAGTACCTCTTCACTAAAGTTCGTTCCGTCATTGCTGGTCCGAACTTCAACAAACACTTCAGAATGAAAGTTTGGCAAAATGCAGTTTATATGAGATTCCGACAAGATAGTGCTAGGAACAAGACGAAGAATCTCTGACCCATCATTTATCCTTCTCCTTGCGTAACAACCAGCATTGCAACTTGAATAGAACCCAGATCCAACTGCTAATATCAAACCTTTGCCAACCGGTGCTTGAGAAGGTTCCAAACTGTACAGGGAAGGGGTTCGAAAATAATGAAACTTGCCTGAAAAGAGCACAGTGCCAGGTTGCAAATGGAACGCAAGATCAACTTCTCCAGCAGTTAAATTGGGTTTGGCAGGAATTCGGCATACTCGAAAATTATTAAGCATGAAAGATTTTGCAAAACCTATTCCATCGAAAGCACAATGCAAGTTTGATAAGGAAGGTTGACCTGAAATTGTGATCAGTGTTCCACCGTATACAGGTCCAGAATGTGGCAAATAGTCGAATTTTTCATACTTGCTCGCATCAATTAAAATCCTTGTTCCATCTTTGCTGAAGTCTAGTCCGTTATTGCTGACCTCAATGGAAATGTTTCCCGTCGTATGGAAACTCAATGAGCAAGCTACGTGAGTTGAACTAAAGAATGTATATGGGGATCGAGTGCTGCATGTGAAAGATTCAGAATTCCTGAAATGTTGCCCGAATATGTCGACTTGAATCCATTTTCCCTGGCGTGAAAAATTGATGAATTGAACTTCAACTTTGCAGCCCTTATTTTAGGCAAAAGGTCTACCAAAAATTGAAATGAACCGAAAAACTCAATACCATCGTTGCTTACTTCAACATTGAGATTTGTACTAGTCAGATTCGATGGAACTGAGCATAGAACTGAGGTTGAGCTGAGAAATGAATGCACGACGTACAGCACATTAAATGTTTCAGAAATAAATCTGCAAGTGAAGTTGGAAGATTCAAAAAAATCAGAGCCCATGACATGAATGTGACTGCCTGTGCTGATTGGACTGGCTGTGGGGCTTATTCCTACAGGAGCAGGACGTGGAATCACCCAAAAAATGAAGCTTTTCACGTTGAGATTCGAGAGAAGAAGTGAGACGTAGACTCTTCTTGCCTTACCATCCTTGGTGGACAAAAATGGTGCAAGACATTCCGTTTTGACATGGTCTACACTGTTGATTTGACATGGACCAAATCCATCGAAAACAATTCTTGAATGGACCCGAGGCTTGAACGACAATCCTTGAATCGTAAGCAAAAATCGAGTACCTTCAGATATCAGGGTAGGCGAAATGCGAACCTGTTGTAAAGCTGCAAAACGATCAAATAGATTCCGTTCGAGGTATAAATCTTCCCGTCTGTGCTAATTTCCAGCGCGTACGAGCCATCCACTGAGGGAAAGATTGGACACAGACCTGAATCAGATCCAAATATCAAACCATTGGTTGGTTGACTCTTTCCCAATTTACAATAAAGCCCACCGGCAGAAGAGAACCCTTGTCCGAAAACCGTAACAATACTTAGTTGTGAAACAGGTATTAAACAAGGCGTCAATGAAAGCACTGACAAAAGAGGCTGAAGTGAAGAAACATGTACTGATGCATTTTGCTCAAAAGAAGACCCTGAATTGAGAAGATGAACTGGCTCCGGAAACAAGCATCCCGCCCACATGATACGATTCGCCGACAAAGAGACATTCCACTCTGAAACGATGTCAACCGTCACATTGTGAAAAACGCAAGGAACCGTACATAACACTGAGGTCGAAGTTAAAATCACCACCTTCTCGAAGACTCGCGAACCAAAGCGACACCGCGCCCCTTCCACCGTATACTTGCTCAGCCCCGCCCCTATCAGCGTTATGCTCCCGCCCCCGTCTGCCGGCCCCCTGCTCGGGATGATGCCCGTCAGCGTCGCTGCAGCCTCGTACAGCACCTCTGCCCCAGCCCCCGTGTAGTCTACTCCGTTGATGCTCACGTCCACTTCCTTCGCTCCATGCATCCCTGGGCCCCCGGTCTCTATGCTCCCGCACCGCACCATGCTTGACGTGATCCCTACTCCTATCGCCTCCTCCCAGCTCAGCCCGCCCCCGCTCCTCATGTCCCAGTACTTGCAACGTCCCTCCGCCCCGATCAAGAAGCCTCTTCCTACTACCGTCAGCGCCGTCCCCGTCCCCGCTGTAACGATCGAAGGCCTCACCCCCGTTACCTCTACCCCCCCGTAGTACATGTACCTTCCTCCGCTGCACCGGCCCTCTGTGCCTACTGCCTCGACGCTCACCTCGACCTCCCGCCCTGGCTCGCTTCCCCCTCCCCGTCTTGCCCCGGGCGTCTTGCATCGTACTACTCCCCCTCCGACAACCGTCCCCTCCACCCCTGCCTCCCCGTCGTACATGCAGACCGCTGACCCTCCCCCTGACCCTCCTGCTGTCGCCCAACCTCTCACCCTGACCTCCACTACCGTACCGCCCCTCTCTGGCCCCAGCGACGGCTCTACCCTTACCACCTCGCACCGCGGCTCTCTGTACTCGACCCGCCCTCCCGTGGACCAGTCCTGCCCGTTGAGGCTGACCTCCAGCGATGCGTTCCCTCTCCCATGTGCTGGCATCACGCACTCGATCCTCGACCCCTCTGACGCCGTCGTTCCTACCCACTCCTCCCCCTCTCTTATCCGACACCAGGCCGCCTCCCACCGTCCTCCTTTCCCTTGTACCCCGTCCATCGCTACCCTGACCACAAACCCTCCTCCCGTCGGTCCTTGACTCGGATACACCCCCGTCACCTCCGGCCACGTCCTGTACCTATACCCGGCCCCTCCCGTCGTCGCCGTCCCTTGCCCGTCCCTCGTTATTGACACTTCCACTGCCTCCTCCCCTGTGTGCTCTGGCGCGATGCAGCTCACAACGCTGCTCGACTCCCAACGCGCCCTCCCCTCTCGTCCTCCCATGCCTCCGAAACGGCACCCAAGCCCTTCTCCCCCCATCATCCCTGACCCGATCACCCTCACGCGTGTGCCTCCTGATACCGGCCCCTCGCAAGGCTCTAGCCGTATGATCGTCCCCGCTTGGATGTACTCAAACACTCGTCCGCTGTCTTCGAAAGTCAGACCCCCGTCCGTGGACAAGTACAAGCTGGCCCGCTGCTCCTGCTGTCCGGGCGCCTCGCAGACTACTCCTGACGAGCCTACCCCCTGCCCTTCCGTAGGCCTTCCCTTCTCTCCGAACTTGCACACCACTCCCCTGCCTGCCTCCCCTATCAAAGCTCCCCATACCGTCACCACTGTCGCCCCGCCCCCGGCTATGCCCCATGTTGGCTGAAGGCTGTTTGCAATGAAGGTTTCCATCACCTGGAGTATTTTGAAGGAAGGGTAATCATCTGAGCAGCGCGCGGTCTT